TTTGGTCAATTTCATGGCTGGTCGCTTAAAAATAACTTTTTCGGCAGCATCTATTTCCACTTCCTACTTGTCCTCTATCGAGTTACCTTTTTGTTATAAGTCAACGTGCAGCATATCGCATTGAGCCTCTATCTTCTGAATTTCTTTTTTACTGTTTTCTAATGCTTCTTCTTCAGTTACCCAACTTGTGGGAGGAGGCATTATTCTTGGAGGTGATCCATACTTTTCAGAGCGAGGCACTCTCTTCTTCCTTTTGGACGTCCCGTACAGCACGTAAAAATCGAAAGAACGCCCAGATGGTTCTCCCAATAAGTCTACTTCACGAACTCCCTCTCAATGTAGTTGCTTCAACAGAGTATTGTACGATACTCCTCTTCTTCTTCTTTCTACTTCCAGATCGATTTCCTCTTCGATGTCTGTCATACCATCATCTTCTTCACCATTGTAGGCCTCTCTAGAAGTTTGGCTTTCTTCATATTCCAACATGCATGCTTCCTCTTCGTTATCCTCCTTCTCTTCTTCTCCCTTCTCTTTATTCTTGAACTCATTCGCTAGTAAATAGTTATTAGCCACGACAGGAGGCAACGTACCAAACTGAATAGTAAGGGGCTGATCTGGATCTTCTCCATCCCTTCTGTCTCGCTCAAACTTCGACCTCCCAAAAGAAATTTCTGGCAATTCTTCCATAGGTTCGCTTGTACCCGTCTCTTCACTGTCATTGAGAACATTTTGATTGGCTGCCTCGAGTAGCCTAGATGCCTTAGGATGTAGCATTCCCTGTTGTTGCCTCATCATTAGCCATAATTCCATTGAAAACGCCTCTGTTGGATCCTAGTCATCTCGTTGAAAGGTATCGCCCTTCCAGCCTTATACTGGAACGAATGCCATACATTTGGTTGGCGAGGTTGTGGTCTGAATGTTCTCCCCTTATTTACTGGCCTGAACTGCCTCTCAAAAGGCGGTCCTTTATAGAACGATGTACCTCGCTCTCTACCAGGCTGAGCGTTTGGGAAAAAACTAGGGCGATGGTGATGCTACCATATCCCTGGTTTCTCTGTATTTGCACTCACTTCTTCTTTGCATCTTGCACATAGGACGTCTTCGTCCTTTTTGGGCTCCTTCCCTTTGATACGTTCAAAGACACTGGGATGTGGTCCAGGGTCTTCTTCTCCATAATTTATAACCAACTTGAATTTTAGCAACTTGTTTTTGAAACCAGACGTCACCATGTTCACTCCAAGTGGCTGTGGAAAAGGATTTTCATCCACTGCCATCTTCCTCTTATCCTCGAATGTAATTCGTCCTTTTTCAATGGCATCCTGTAACACATGGCAAAAAACCAAGCAGTTGTTAGTCAAATGCGACCATGTATTATGCCACTTACAATATTTTTTACCCTTAATTTGTTCAGGGCTTGGCAATTTATGCTTATCGCTCAGCTTTATCTGCTTATCCTTATATAATTTATCAAATATAAGGTCAGCTTTAGTTACATCGAACGATAACGTTCTAACCTTTATGTTTGCATCTTTTATAGGCTCATCCTTGCCCGATGGTCTAGGCTTAGCCATTATAGGACAAGTATACGTGTCTCCTTTACTAATTCGGCCAAACACATTTCGATTTGATCGTAATACTCGTCATTAATGGTATGACCATCAAAATTTGGGTCTCTATAATAAGTCCCCCTGCTAGAATTTTTTATTTGTTCTTCTTCTCTTATTAATCGTTCATACCTAATCACGTTCGCGTTCAATTGGAAAAGATCAGAAAATTCCTTGTCTTGGAACTTCTTCTTCAAATCAAAGCTTAGACAACCTTGAGCGATTTTGACAAACTCATTTTTGGATAAGAGTACAAAACATTTACTTCTTACTGTCTTGAACCTTTGAAGGAAACCTTCTGCCCATTCATTTGGCATTTGACGTAGATTCGCCAAATCGACCAAAATAACTTCAGACTCAGTCTTATAAAACTGAGCGTGGAACAATTTCTCCAATTGTTGCCATGTTTGAACAGAGTTTGCTGGCAAATTGATGAACCAGAAGAAGGCTACTCCTGTTAATGAACTAGGGAACAGTCTCATTTTATGGTAATCAGTTACGTCACCACTTTGCAGTGTGAATCGCCCTATGTGTTCTAGAGTAGACACCTCTCCTAAACCGGTAAAAAATGAGAATTCTGGCACTTTCTACCCTCTAGGCCATGGATATGCTTGGTCTACCCAATCAGGATATAGTTTTGTGTAAATCGGCCTAATGACAGGACGTACTCTAAAAGCCATCTGGTCCTGTACGATTTCCATAATCTAATTCTTCAACATGACGTTGGGGTCATATGGAATTCCTACAGGTTGGTTGACCGGTTGATTTGCTTGAGGCTTGATGTTTGGTCCTTGATTGGCAACAAAGTTACCATGATTTGGGCCATTGTTACCATTAGCCTGAACATTTATTCCATCATTAACATGTGGGGTATTCTGTCCATTATTTAGGACATTATCTCTTACATTTAGGTTACCCCCCAAGTTAGATGTACCAATACCATTATTCTGATTTGGTATTACACCATCCCCCTGACTTGAAGTAGAGGGATCAAAAGGTGGTTCTACCCCTTGATTTGAACTTAGGACTGGGGGATTATGTCCCACAATTGTCCTAGTTTGAAAGTGGTTTGCAAAAGGCACAACTGGCTGACAAATTTGGCCTACTAACTTATTTATTATTTCGTTCAAAGTATTCAGTTGTTTGGCCATGTTGTCATAATGTGCATTCCCATTCTGGGTAAATCTTTTCATATTATGAATATTTCGTAGATTTACCTGTTCAACGACATCTTGTGTGAGTTCTCTGAGTAATGCACGCATGATTCGAGGACTCAACTCTATCATTGGTTCGTAACGACTGTGATTGCTCTGATCCTGTCCATCTGTTCGTGGAGAGCTATGTTGCTCCTCATATTGCTCGATTACAGACTGGACTCCTCTCTGGCTTGCTGCTTCCTTATCGAATTTCTGAGGCATATTGTTTCACCTTTTGTATCTTCAACACCAAATACCAATGTCCCACTGGACGTACCAAATTGTTTCGCGCGGGTTGTCGCTAACAATTAAAAAGGGATCAGACGATTGTGAAAGGAACAAATATTTTGAGACAAAGTCCCAAAAAGATGTGTTTTATTGGCGATGACTTTACAATTGGAATTTAAACAGAATGCCTCCAAGGGACGCAAGCACACGAGTACTGAAAAGAAATGTTTTAAGTCTAAACTAAGGAATTGAAATTACATATTCTCTGTTTGAGAGTGTTTGATTCGGGGTCTTTTGCTCTATGTCTTTTCATCCTTTTATATTCCCTTGATGATCTCTTCGTGATCAACCGCTTAATTGCTTTATAACTGTCAACTTTCTTCATGGTGGTCAACTTATCGTGGAACTGTCGTCCCTAACTGCTGCCACTACTCTTTGTCGTTCAACCGTCTTCAACTGAACATCCTTGAATCGTGGAACGTGATAAGATTACCCAATAACTGCTTCGATAACTGCATTTTTGGATAACCACAACATCTTATGTTTGTTAAGATCCTGGGCGATTCGAAGGTTTGGGTGAGAACAGGGTCATAACTTTGGGCTACTGCAAGGCACTTCATTGGCTCAAATCTTGGACATCTTGCAAGTTTGGATGATGGTGTTACCGCGTTCGTGGGCTTCCACTGCATTCATTGATAACCCTATTCGGGCCTTTATCCTGAATTGCCCAGTTGAGTTTCATTCTTTGGGCTATTCGATTTGTGCTGCACTATTAGCGTGTCAACACTATCTCTCCTACCCAAGCGTACATTTCATAGATATATGTATATATGAAATGAATGACATTAGATTGGTTAAAATCAATACATTAGAATTAGTCAAATGAAGTTAGTTTTATTCTTAATTCTAAAGTCGTAGAATATCTCAAATTTTCTATACCATTAGTTTGAACATAGATTTGAAACGAAACCCCATCATAAGTGGATATATAGATGGGGTCGATTCGGGTGAGATTCCTTGTTCGATTAACATGTAAGATCCCAATTGCCGGTTGAATTATTTTTTAGAAGGGAAAAAAAAGGCTAATCAGTTATTTCTTTGATCGCTTCCAACATTCCAACATTAGCATTAGTGATACGTAAATGTAAATAGTTGTTCAAGTGACTATTCAGAGTTGCTAAAGCTCCTTGTAATGCTTGTCGGAAAATCTGTTGTCGGGTTTGATTAATCAGCCTTTAGTTTCTTCCCTTTCTGTTCTATACTCTAAGTCGTACAAAAAAATAGCAATTGCAAAAATTATTTTTCCGTGCTTCTCAAATAAGTAAAAATTTATTATTTACTCTTGAAATAAAATTAATACGAGGCAGCTCACTTGCACCCCTTTCCCAAGTCAAGAAAGCGACGGTACAACATTCATTGAAATTAAGGAATTTCTTATTAACCAGTTAGCAGAATCCATAAGTTTGAAGTCATAGTTAATCTATTTTTTTTAATTGATTTGTTAATACCTTAATCACATTTTCTCTGTCTAATAATTTGTCCTCTCATGGGTGCTGTTTGGTTGATCTTTATTCTCATTTCCTGCTTATCTTTGACATTTTGTTTACTCAATGATAACAACTAAACGGTGAATTGCTCTCAATGTTGTACAAAGGGGGCCCAGGAATTATGTAAAAATTATAGATTAAAAACTTAAAATTATGGACTAAAAATTATGTGGGCTACTTTGTAAATATCAAAAATTCAGGACATACATGACTTTTATCGACACTTTTAAAAACGAAAAAAAAAATAAAAATAAAATATTATTCATTATATTGTCGGAATTTTTTCAGTATCATACTGCATACCAAACACACATTTAATATCTAAGAAGGGAAGAGAAAGTATAGCCTTCTCTTTGATTCTCCTTCTACCACCTCCCTATACACGAAAACCTTTAAATTTAGCCTATAAGTCATCGCCGGGCTCATAAACAGAAAAATACATCTCCTTCATTTCTTCTATTATTCAATCCTTCAAAAGAAGGCAATCAAGATTTCCAAGGTATGTTTGATATACAATACTAGATACAACCAAATAATATAATGAATAAGATTTAACTTCCTCAACACAATCAGTTCTATCCGATCCACTTTAATAAAAATGCGAGCACTGTTTTATCAAGTAATCTTGCCATGCTACCACCTATCATGTCCAAAACTTCAAGAGATAATACATTATAGCAAATCATTTAAATGAAGGACTTCATCCCGGCAAAAGAAAACCAACGAATCATCAACATGATTCCAGATTATAACCAAAACGAACTATTTTTAATTTAATTTGTCGCACATCAAAGATGAAGACAAGGAAATTTGTAACACTGTTGTAATGAAGTGCAAATAATGTTTCTGCAAAGACAACGAAAGCTAATTAGTATATGTAATTTGTAAATAAACTCCAAAAAGTGTTCTATAAGTATCAATCATCTTTTTGAGATGCTGCATGGAACTCAAAATTAGTCCCTTAATTTCATAATGACATTATCTTTTGTACATCTAGTACTAATAACAAATCATCTTGAGAAAAAAATAATAAATAAAAAAGAAGGGAGAACCACGATATACTGCCCATATACGAAAGGACACAAGTTAGGACAACATAGTACTTATTTGACATCATTCACAAAATCAATCCATAACATTATGGGAAGTGTTGCTTATTCCAGACATCGAAAAGAAATACACTTATTCTTGGTAAAGGATTTTCTATGCCCAAAAAGGATTTGCTCATCCCACATTACCCAACGGGGCAAAATAGAGATGATATTACTCAGTGGTGTAGCGTCCAGGATGATGCTGGTTTGCCTATTTGTCTGAATAGTTAAACAAGCCAATGACTCTGGCCTGATATTTCAGTGATATGTTCCTGGAGTAATTAATCAGCTTATTTTTTGGCCAAAGTTATCTAACTATGAGAAGGGAAGATGCAGTCTAAATGTATTTGAAAGGAACAAGAATGTCAAACCTTCAAAAACATGAGCTATGAGCTTTTTCCTGATTGCTTATCATGATCTCTCCAGGGATTTAGAGCTTCTCTAACGGCCTGAGCTTCGGGAGAATTCTCCCAAGCCCTCTTCTCCGACTCAAGAACTGTCACTTTGTCATCTGCTCAAATCCAAATATAAAGGCAAATAAGGATACAGACCAGAGTTATAATACTCTCTAAAAACCAAAAAATGAATACGAACTTGACAAAAGAAGCATATCGCAATTTCAGAAATTTAAGATGCTTAAAATGATAACCGAAGCTCATGATGTAACTGTATATGGCGAGGATGCATCCGGACTACCGTAGGAAAGCCCACCACTGCTAGAGACTCATTGGAGAATGTTCATTCATTTTCATTGGTCATATAATGAGGAGTACAGATACTCCACAAAATGAAAACTTTTGCGCACACACGCAGCTCAACATAGAAAACCAAAATCTAGGCAATATGTATCAATAACCAATACCATATACAATGTTATTCATCATAAAGGGAAGTCAACTGCAATTCTAATTCTTTTAATTTGATTTAATTTATTGATTTCAGTTGTTAACTTTACATTTTGCATTCCAAATCTTGAATAGAATATACTTAAACTCATAGTCTATAGAACACATGAAAACCCAACAAAAATGGAAACCCACGAATCGACTCACACAAAAAATTTCAGTAAAAGCATTTCATCATCTTCAAAGAGACGACAGTAGCATGAAATTGGGGCCTCGAGATTGATTTTGATTATTATTATTTTTTTCAACTTTTCTTATTTCAATACCTGGGAGCAATTCCTTGCTCCCAATCATAAAATCAATAAACTCCTATTTTGACCGTTTAGCCGAACTGTGCATATAAAATAAACCTAATCCTCCTTTAAGAACTCGCATACACAGAAAACAGTAGAAACTGAGTAATCAGCAGATTTAATTACAATACAAAATGGGGCTTTATTAATCCATTAAAACTGACAAGTAAACCACCGTAAAACAGATATGAATCTATCTGATTCAGAAGGGAAGAACTTGCATCAGTATCTCAATTTCAATTCAAACATGGGTCTGACAAGTAAACCACCATTAACATGTTAGAGAACGATAATTAAAAATCTGGAATGAGTAAAAAATCGAAAAAAACAGAGTGAGAAGGAGGGCTCTCACACAGAAGCCAGTTTTGATCATGAAGAATTCCATGGAACCCCCAATCGTGGCTGAAACTAATGCAATCTTCAAGTACCAATCTAGAAACTTCATTGTCTGCAACCCCAAATCAAAAGCAGTTTCAAGAATTTTAGTGGGGAAGGGTTGAAACAACTCTTGATGAACAATTATATTTAATTATTAATTTAGGAGGAAAGTTTCAATGCCAATCAATCCACTATAACAAGTCATATCATGTTGAGAAATGGGTTAGATTAGGGTTTAAGAGTTGTAATAAACACACGTGTTTTTTATTTTGACACTTTTATTACTGGTTGGTAGGGCACATTTTCTCCTCTTTGAAATCACATTGTATTGCTTTTGTTTGGGAGAATAGAAAAGATACTACAATAGAGCTTCCAATCATGGGCATAGAGAACTCCCCTACTCATATGCATGGCAAGATTGCTTATGATGTATTTAATGTACTTTATCGGAAGTGCACTAACGATGTTCCATATATAAGTACGATAGCAAGTTTCCAACTTTCTTATATTGTGCTCATATTTCTTATTTTAGTTTACTAGCCCATGTGCAAGGAAGGCTGCTTCGAGGACTGTTGAAATCTCGAGGACCTAACGGACTGTCCATTACATTCTGCTTCCAATTTGGTCTTCAGTTCTTCGAGATTGGCTCAACTCATAGAAGCCCAATTTTCTTCTTGGCTAGAACTAGATCCTTGTTCCTGACGAACCAATAAACTAAGCTTTAACCAAATGATGTAAAATAGGATTAAGGTTATTACAAAAGTTGCTCTTAGATTGATCGTAAAACTCAATATGAAGTCGTAGGTAGAGGGACCCATTATATAATATTGACGTTTGTTTCTTCTTTGTAGAGCTTAGCTCGTGTTCAGCTAATTGATTTTTAGCTTCATGACTTTCGTTTTGTAAGAGAGGGTGCCAATTGAGTTCATGGATTTCTCAAAATCAATTATAAGTCAATAAAATAATTTCATCTTCGAAACCCATTGGAAGGATACAATGTAGCAGGAATTATAGAGAAATGATCGAATTTGGTAGAATAAAGAGAGTACTATTTGGAATTAAATTCATGAATCATTAGAACTAAAAAAGTATTATAACAAAACTTCAACGGTTAGAAATCAATTATTTTTAATGACAATCGCACATGCAGTGATTTCCTACCGTACAATTCCTACTGCGCAAACTCAACTTGAGTGGAAGAACAAAAATAGAAACTACAACAACAAAAAGGGAGGAAATTGTCAATCAGTGTTATCTAATACTGCATACGAAAAAGAATGGCCTCAATAAGAAAAGCAAATGCTGTCCGATATATAAATAGTCGACCCAGAGAAACCAAACTAGCCTCCCCATCTATTAATTTTCCATGATTTTCTTAAATTGTTCCTTTGGCGCTGCAATTGGAAGACGAATAATCAGGACAAGCAAATGAAACGATGTCTTTCTACGGAAGCAAATGAAGCTCGTTTAATTTTCTTTACCTGGCAACCCTGTAAACCTCTCATATTGTTCATATGCCTGTCCAATGAACATATCAACTCCCGTGACAATTTGGGCTCCTGATTCTGCTGCTTCCCGCAGAAGTCTCGTGATTTTGGGAGTGTAAACAGCATTCAAAACAAGCATGTAATTAGCCAGAGCCTCCTGCAAAAGCAGAACATTTTGATAATATCCATCAACATAATATGATTCCGCAAGAAAAGTTTAAGTTATTCTAAAAGTTCTTGAATTTCAAACCAAATCATAGCGTTGATAGCATGATTTGTAAAGTGGAATGGACAGCATCAAACAGTATGCGCACGCGCGCGCGCACACAATAAAAAAAAAATAATAATAAAAAAATAAAAAAATAAAAAATAAAAGGACAAGAAGTTAAAATCTAGTTCATTTGTAATGTCTAATCTAGTCTAGTAGCTTGTACCAGACAAACCCATATAATAAAGGACCTAAGTGGACGAATAAAGAACACAACTAGACGCCTAACCTTGGAAATAGGTGTTTCATTGACCTTTGGATGCATCCCGATAGAAGTAGTATTTGCGAGTATCATTCCCTTTTCTGGACGAAAATTATCTAACTCAGCAAGAGACAAAGCCTGTCCTCCAACAAGGTCAGCAAGTTCTCTAGCTCGATCTTGACAAAGAGAAAATATTAAACTTTATGTTAGAAAATTGGCAAACCAGTATTAGCTTTAATTGGAATATACGAAGGCTAAAGCAAGAAGTGAAAAAATGAGGAATGCCGTAGAGAAAGCAGACCATATGTGCGATTAGCAATTAAAACTCTGGCACCCTTTTCTTTTGCACCGTAAGCAAGTGCCTTGCCTGCTCCACCAGCACCAATGACCACAAACAGTTTTCCAGCCAAGGGCGACCCTGTTCCCGTAGAGCCATTTTGCGAACCTGTATGACCATATAGCTGCAACACTAAGTTTCTACTCACGTTAAGCATTCTGTTAAGATAGTAAATCATAGAAGAAACCTAGAAGGCCATCCTCAATGGAAGAAATTGCACCAACGTAGTCTGTATTGCAGCCAAACAACTTCCCATCAGGACGCCTGACAACGCAATTAACTGCCCCTATTGACTGATAAGAAAAACACAAACGAATGGTACCTTAATGACAATGATAATCGTGATTGTTGTGTTGGTATAGGAGCATGACAATATGACACTATAATTACCTTCGCGACAGGATCAACTTCATCACAGCACGCAAGTGCCGCTTCCTTGTGAGGAATTGTCACGCTGTCGGATTTAATCTCGACATTTAGTAAATGAAAATGAATTTTTTTCTTTATAAATGTGCCATAAAGCTATACAGTAGAGGAGCATCAATACAATGCAATAAAAATGTTTCAAAGAAATTAAAAAGAAAGGGGGGAAAAGTCGAGTAAATTGGTTTGACGAGACTGTATATAGAAAAGGAAAAGGAAAATACATAAACTCAAACAGCACAAAGCAAAGAGAAAAATATTGCACACATAAACACCCACACGCAGGAGAGAGAGAGAGAGAGAGAGAGAGAGCAATTAAAGCATGTAAGAATAAGGAATGAGCAATACGTTGATCACTAAAAGAATTAACCATATTAGGCTTTAAGAGTTGACCTGAAGCCAGCAAAATCCATTGAGGAATATGTCCTGAAATTTTTTCACACGTTATATGAGGTGAGGCTGCAGCTAGACTGCCAGAGGAAAGCCCACAACCAATAGAAAAACTCATTGGAGAATATTAAATCATTTTTCATCAATCAATCAGTATCCAAATAGAGAGGGGTAACAAAAACTTTTGCTACACACAGCTTGACATAGAAAACCGAAACCTAAATATATTGACCAATAAGTAATGTCAGATACACTGCTCTTCAACATATAGGTAAGTTCAACTTGCAATAATAATTTCTTATTCGATTAGTATAATGATATCAGTTATTGATTATACGTTCACTCCCTAATCTTTCATGGAAAATACTTAATTCACAGGGAACCCACACATAAAAACCCGAAAAACTATGCTTTGACTGACAAACACAAGCTTTCTTTAAAAGCATTTCACTATCTTCAAACCGACAATGCAGCATGAAATTGGGTCCTCAAGATCGAACTTTTTATTTTCTTTTAACAACTTTTCTTATATCAATTTCTATGGCCCAATTTCATGCTGCCAAATATAGCACAATTTTTTTTTTTTTTTCACTGTTTAGCCAAACCCTGTAAATGAACTACCCGGAATTCCTTCTTAAGAAATTGCAGACACAGAAAATATAAAACTGATGCAAAATAGGGCTCTATTAATCCAGTAAAACTGACAAGTAAATGACCATACACATGTTAAAGAAAGATAATTAAAAATCTGAACTGAGTAGGAAATCGAAAAAAGTAGAGTAAGAAGAAGAGTTCTCACACAGAAGCTAGTTTTGATCATGAACAATTCCATGGAACCTCCAATCATGGTTGAGAACAATTAAAGAATGGACGAATTTCACACATAAGCACACAAAATAATTAGAACATTGAGAACGAACGGACGAGTGTTGAGTTCATCACCAAAAGAATTAACCATATTACGCTTTAAGAGTTGACCTGAAGCCAGCAAAATCCATAGAGGAATATGTCCTGAAAAATTTTTGAACGTCATCCACCAACAAATGGAGGTACACTCCATTAAAGCCAACTGATTTGAAAGCTTCATTGTATAATTTTGGAGATTTGCTGTGGCTTACAGGATTCCCAATAATCCCAAAAACTTTTGTATCAGGCTCCAACAGTCTAAAGTTGTACAAATTAACCAACTCCTCTATTGTCGGTTGCCCAGGAGCAGATACCTGTCCTGCCTCTAGACTACCAAACGTGAGATATCCACCAAATTTTGGACAGAGTATTCTTGACATCAACCCTCTCTCTCCCATTACCATAGCTATGATTGGTACCTGAAGATTAAATAGATATTTATCACGTATACTGAAAAGAATAACATTTGGAAGTACACATGATATTCCTATACACATTAACTTAATAAAACGCATTACAACTATAAAACCCTTTAGGATACTATAATGCCTCGATACAGACACATGTGTCCGACACGATACATGTCGAATACGTTGACATGCGATTTTTCAAAAAAGTATCGGCACAACATATCGACAACACGTTGATTAAATTCTTTAAAATTCTTCATTTATATAATATAAATTTAGTTTTACACTTGTTATTAATTTTTGTTGTTGAAATCTTTTAAATATAGTACATATTTGTTATTTACTATTAATTTTGAATTAAAATATATAATATTTTTAAATAAAAAGAAAAATATTTATAGTAGAGTGTCCAAGAAATATCAGCATCAACACGGACATGTGTCGGACACGGACACGCTACTTTAGTTGAAGTGTCCATGTTACAAAGTTAGGATACAAAGACTTGAAGAAATAGTACATTCAACCCATTATATACTGTTTTTCTTATTCTATTTTTTTCTTTTTGGTGTGTTGTGTTGGGGAGGAGGGTCGGGGAGGAGAAGATAACCATATGAATCTTATTATACAAAACTGCTTGGCTCGGGGAAAGAACTTATATTGCGAACTCACAAACTCTGAAGCTCCTTTACGATACTGGATCTTCATAGCACATTTTAAACCAGTTTGCATGAAAAAGTTTTATAAATCAATAATTAATAAAGCTTCTTACTTGGGAATGAACTGTTATCTGGAAAACACGTGCCACATCTGTGATATCCAAAGCTGTTGTTGCAAACTTTATTATGTCAGCTCCAGCAGCTTGAATTCTTGCAACCAGATTTCCCAGGTCCTCAATCGGTGGAGTGCTATCATAGTTGTGGGAAGAAATAATGACTTTGCATTTTCCAGGCTTATTTCCGTGCAAAAAATTGTTGAACTCATGTGCAGCCTTCACAAAGCTTCAGTATAAGTTTGTGTCGAGCTGCTCTCAATAGAATATAAGCACAAAAATATAAAAGACATCTGAAATCTTAGGATTATAAGCATAAAGCAAAATGTTGCAAACACTACATGCAATTTTCTAGCTTTTTGTTAGATACAACAAATTTTTACAGGACAACAAATGCCATAGGTTCTAAGAACTTGCTTCGTGCTAAGTTTCCTGTTGAAGTTGACAATTCTCACTAAAACAAATAGTTTTGTTCCCAACGAGGAGTGATGCGAGCACGTTGAACTCCGAGTCTATATTTTTGCTTTAATCATGAATGAGCTTACAAACATCCAACTTGGTCTCTTAATTAACACAGCTCCAAGTTTATAGAGAATAGAACTTGTCTTATTGTGTTGTTGAACTTCATCTAAAATGATTAATTGCACTGCTAGAATAATTATAATACATACATCGATAATATGAACGAAAAGGCACCTTAAGCTCAATGTCAATGTGATCAGCTCCCAACTCCATAGCTAGTTGAAGTGCCTTGAAACGACTTTTTTCATCACCAGCATATTGACCACCTTCCCATATTGGTCTTGCAAAAACATATGATCAGAAGTTTCCATAAAATGAATATTTTCCGTGGTTTATGTATAAGATCAATATGCAAGTCTCTGACAATGGCTCACAAGTGTTAAGGTCATCATGAGAAATAACATATGTAAGCCTTTACAAAGCAAAAGAGTGGTCATGAAAGGCATTCAAATATCACACATTACAATGAAAAGGAATGAAAGATGTTACGTAATTATTAACTGTGAAGTGCTAGGACACTTATTTACATAATGCCTCTCATCTGAGAGCAATAATCTAAGAAAACGAGCAAAAATAACAAACAATCACTCTCCTCTTTTTTATTTGAGGCCAAGACATACTCAAATTTTAGAAAATGCTTAGTCCCAAATCCTAATTTTTGGAGGATCAAGGTAGTAATTTCTGTGTTTCTTTACGCTTACAAATTTGGAATCCTCATACAGCACCCCGAATGCTGTATAACTTAGTGACAATAAATTTGAAGTAACATATAAAGGATAACTAGATTGATACTGACAGCAATATCAAAATATTGATCTCTATGATAGTCTAGATAGACATCTGTACAATTTATACCAGATAAAATGAAGTTACATACAATGTAGACATATAATTTTAAGAATGTGTCAGTTTGCTTCCATGTTTGTTCTAAGAAGAAAAAGAATGTGCATTCCCCCTATTGTTATAATTTTCTAAAAGGTTACTATCTTTCATATATAAATTTCTATAGAATCTCTGAACAAGATTTTCCTTCCCTAAAAAGAAAAAGTTCAACATTTAACTGATCCAAATCAATTTTTAAAGGTCAACATCCACAAAATTCTTGAAATTTAAATGTCAATCAGAGATCAAAGTTGTAGACAATGGATCTGTAATTGAAGTGCAAGAAAAACGCAGCACAGTCAAATCAAGAATGTTGCTATCACGGAAAAACTTAAGCTAATACAATTTTTTTCCATAGTTAAATTTCTTTCCTTTCACGACTTTTAGAACCGACTATAGTGCTATATTTTAGTTTCTTACTGTTTAAGTTTCCTTTCTTATTATTTTCTCTATTTCATAGACAAATTCTTGCATTCATGTCCAAGTTTTAGTTCTTTAACCAAAAGACCACATCCGGAAAGCTAAGATGTAATGCGGTAGTCATCCATATGTTCCAAAGGTCGCGAAAACAGAATTTCATAACATTCATATTAGAATTTCAAACATATATAGAACAAATTTTGACAGCTTAAAATAAGTGTCTAAGGACTCACTCAGACATCAGAGTTACCTTGACTTGTATCAACACTGATAGAATTGCTGAAAATTTTGGTGACTATCGCGTTTCATTGAATTTTCATCCAAAATGCAATAACTTAGTACAAGTACTTGAACAACTGAAACTAATTTATGATTGCAATGTTAGGATTGTCACTAAACTAGCACTTTTAACAAAATACGTAGTTTGCACAACCATAAAATAATAAAACTAGTCATTTCATTTGAATTTATCAATGTAACATCAGCCCTACTTTTTAGAACAACACACTTTCTGTACTTTGACTCAAGCGAGTTTTAGAATTTCAGTGTAAAACAACTTTTTAGATTTCCATCCAAGCCTTGACTTTTCCATCATTGGTTAAATTATAAAAATGTACTATTTTGGCAGCTAAATCTCAACCTGTATGTGAAGAGGGTGGGCAGAGGACAGACTTTGATCATTATTTCGATATCACTGCGAGGGTTGAAAATCTTCAAGTGATCCAATCTGATTTCTACGATATCGGCTCCCTTCGACTTAGCCTTGTGCATCAAATCCACCATTTGATCTACTGTGTCAGCCATTAATGGTGCGCATATCAAAGCTTGATTCCTCCTAATCCCCTCCCCACTTCCCATGGTTTTCAAACCAGATTCAACTGCCTGAAAAAATCCCACAATTCAAATCAATTTAAAAGCTGGTTTTTCTTAGTTGAGACTCAAGAACTAAAATGAAGTATCGGTAGATTTGATTGTTGGTATACTTTGAATTCTTTAGACTTTTATTAATAACTTTCTGTTCTCGATATTAATCGAATACCACAATCTAAAACTACAGGTATCAAATGGAATAAACGGGATGTCAAAACAGAAAAGAAAACCAAAACTTCCACCCAAAAAACTTTTGTTTGGGCAAGTTCGAAATTCAATTATTTATACAGGGACTTAAAAGAATCAAATAGATTCTTTTATTTTCTAGTAATAATCAGCAGACAAAATGTACCCTAACAACGCAAGCAAATTCGTTTGTCGAAAGCTTACAAATTCCATATGTAGCTATGCACGGACGGAAGTTGCTATAATTTGGCATATAAATGTCCAGTATTTAAGAGGGTGGCATATGTGTGGATGCTATATAGAACAAATGGATTGAATGAATGAAGAAGCCGAGAAGTCTTTGAGCCTGGCCAAACAGGTTTATGAGAAAAAGAAGGGGTACTTTTTAAAATAGCTTGGTCAAACGACCAATTTTTCATTTTGACCATTTCTTTTTTGTATTCACCACATTGGCCTATTGTCATTAAAAAGACAATTCTACCCTTACTCATGTTTAATAATTACAAAAGTATATCAATTGTTTAAAAGACAATAATACTCTTAATAGTTTAAATAAATTCTGTTACTTCCATACGTAAATTTCAAAATCAGTTTTGGTTATCAGTTTCTCCAATACAGTAAAAAAGAATTTTTTCCTTCCATCTGCTAAAATATTGAAATCTCCCAAAATTATCAAAGGTTCAAGAAAAAAACAATACTCACAGTCGGCACTGAAAATTGATAAGTGTAAATACGTATTTTGAATTTTGTTTTAGTTAAATCTACTATTTGAATCTGTAAATAATTATTTTGAGAAAGGCAGATGAATTTTACAGTATTTAAACACAGATTTATAATTTTTTTTATAGCAAAAACAACAAAAAAATTCATCTCTGCATGCATATATTTTACAGGAAAAATTTATAGGTGTCTGTAAAATAAATATTTAAACATTATTTCGTTGAAAAAGGGAAAAAATAAAAAATTCGAGCGTAAATTTCAGATGAAATGGACGAAAAAAGTTGGGCCAAATGTTTCCAGCCGGCTGTTCCCAGCCGGTTAGGCAGGCTGGAAAACAGCCGGCCCAGCTTCCTTTTTTTTTTTTTTCCCCTTCAGATTTTAGAATTTATTTGTTCATATATGTTTATGGAAATAAATATTAATGAATATTTAAATACTAATTGAAATAAATATTTTTGAAACAATTAAAATAATCAATGAATTATTTAAAGTATTAAATAAAATTAAATATGAAATGAACAATTTAAAAAATTATATATTAATTCCTTATTTTTAATTTGTGGTAGATATGGCATCAGCATGTGTCCCAATTTGTTACTTTGGTGAATTTCAAATGACTGAAAATATTCAGTGGGAATGGAAATAGACGAGTGAAGGAGATGGGGTTAAAGCAATTTTTATAACAAGGAGTACTTCGTTCGCAGAAATATACAGTGATATACAAAACATGCTTAACGTCGATCCCTCTCAGTACGATATGGAATTGAGATTTTTGTTTCATAAGCATTCAACCATTTCAATTCCATCTATGAAAGTTACTTCTGAAGTGGAAATGAAACATCTAATTAAATTGAATCAAGGCCGGAAGTCGACTCCTATTTGCGTAACTTTATTGGGGAAGAATGTCCACGAGGGGGAACACGAAGTTTCAAATGAAGAGAATCGTAATGTAAATGATGTT